TAGTAGCCCAAGAGTTGGCGGTGGGTGGTGATGACTAGCTGCCTTTCCTCTAATCTTACACTGCTAAATTAAGGACGGATAGCGCAGATAGCCCTCGTGTGGCTTTGCGCGAAATTCAAAAAACAAACAAACAAACAAAACTCTGAGCCACTGGGTACTTAATAGGAAGAAGAGACGTACCTACTAAACTAATACAAACCGTGCATGCTATTTGACCATTATGTATGCATTAAAGAACCATTAAAGCAATTCACTATTTCAGAGGACAGTTCTGTATTGTCTGTATTTTTCAGTCTTCCATCGTCTTGTAAGAGCATGGGTAAATCTTGTATTAACAAAAGAAAAATAACAAAGAAACTTGACTTGTAATTATATCGTAGTAGTGTTTGTAATTTTGTTTATTTATTTGTGTTGAACATTGTCGGGGCGTGGGTTGACCTTGTGGTAGAACTCTAGATTTTGGAGCTGACAAGCCGAGTTCTAATCCGTGCGATGTCACAAAATATTCCCCACACTTTCAGCTACAGAAGCATTATTTGGGTCGCAGCCAAGTCCATTAGCATGGATGGTAAAGGTGTTACTGATTGATTGTCTTCCCTCCGATCAGTAGTTCAAAATTAGGGACGGCGGCGGATAGCCTTAATAGCTTTGCCATAAATATATAAATAAACATTGTCATTAATAAATGTTTGAATTGCCGATAGTAATTTCATATTTATTTTTTTCAGTGGGCTAAAATAATGATGAATTTTTACAAAATCGCATAACGTCACCACTTACACGGAATATGTCCTCTGCAGAACATTATAGTATCATCGGAAATGTCATTTTATGAACCGTTACCAATTCTTTAACCTGCACGCAAAAGTCAAATCTCTTATAATAGAGTAAGTTCTTGTAATTATTGGCAACGCTTTACAATCTAAAAATACTCTGACCATTGTACGATCTTCCATGGTCTAGTTAAATTCTGATTTACACTAAGAATTTATCTGATGGTACTTTTGGCTTCAGAATATAATGGTGAAAAACGTTATGGTATCGTTAGGCTTTGAATCCAGGTGAAATAGATTAATTTAGTGTGATTTATATGGACTTTTACTTTGTTGGTTCATTCAATATTAATGATATAAAATCGGAGGAAGTAGAGGCAGCTCTCTATTTATATCATGTGTTGTAAAGTATTTTACTGGCCTATTATTCTGCGTTTCTCATAGAAAATGTATAAAAATGATAGACTAATTTGTTTTAGTTATTCTTTTTTTTATGTACAGCTAACAAAGTTTTTATTATTAATCCAATATTTTTATTAAAAAATTGAAAGTTGGGACTTTTTTATATATTTTTTCTTCTGTTGTGCTGAGTTTAGCGACAAGTAAAAAAGGGTTTGCTTGTTTTTAAAAAAGCAGTTTCTTAATCATCTTGACTGTAGATTTAAAAGGTTAAAAACATGTAGTAAGTTATAAAATGAGAGTTTAACATCATCATGTGTAAGTGGGCGAAAGTTGCCAGCATCCAAAAAACAATTAAATGACAATATCTTAAAATGTAATCCAAAAATGCGAAAAGCTAACGCATACCGAAAAAAACTAAAAAAACTAGTTAGTTACTACGAAATTGGTTTCACAATTTTTCAAAATGTATCGTCTTTGTGCGTTTTTGAATTACATTTTAAGATATATAAATAAAGTCGGACCAAATCATAAAAGTGATATTTAAGACAAACTTTGAAAATGTTTGGTAGAAACAGAATCCAAATCCAAACAACAATGATCGAAATCGAGGCAATTTAAACTAATAATAATTATACATAAAGCAAATAGGTAAATACCACCAATATTAAAAAAAACAGTTCTTATTAAGGCAAATTAAGCTAATAATTATGAGAGTAAACCGTAAAACTCCATATTTATTTGAAAGTCGATCATTAGATTTAGATAAGGGCTACGTTCGAATACACGTATGATGAAACCCTTGGATACAACATTTTCAGAATTTTTAAGTTTGAAAGAATAATAAAAAAATAATAACACTTAAGTGCTAAAACTTAATTTTGTTTATTTGTTTTAGAATGTTCAACAAAACTACAGTAAGGCTATCTGTGCCTAGCTATCCATAATTTTGAACTGATAGATTAGAGGGAAGGTAATTAATCAGCAAAACCCACTGCAGACTCTTGGGTTACTCTTGTCTGAGTAAATAAGAAATTTGAATGTCACTCTTACAGTGTACCCACACCCTAAAGTGCGGAGCGCGTCTTTGCAGTAAAAGGACGCGAACAAAGAACTCTTGGATTCACAGTCCAGGCGCGCTAACTATTGGATTACGCCCGGCCATTTGCTTTCATAGTATTAAGAGACAATTGTACTGTTGCAGAGGCCTCTAATTTGTATTCGTATGTGAAGTTTATCTCATCCTTCGTAACATTGAATTACTTTTAAACACCTTTGTGTATACATTCCAATTTTTATTTGTTACACGTGTTTTCGTCACGTCTCTTCGGAAGTTATAGAAATAAAAACACAGAAAATAAAATAAAAGTTTTTTTTGTTAGTTTCGATAGAATTAACCAAATGCATGGGTTTCTTTTTTATTTGCAGAGGTCCAACCAGCCTTGAAAAGGGTATGCTATTATACGATCCGGCATGGCTATGACGACACTCCACTAAAACCCAACCTTCTCGATCCGTCAGTCTGTACTCATTTAATAGTAGGATTTGCAAGTGTTGCCTACGACTATCTGATCCCGAAACACCCAAAAGACTTGTATGTTTACGGAAATGTTACATCATTGAAGATAAATAATCCTGACCTAAAGGTGCTATTGTCCGTCGGAGCCGGGAGCGGTGGCAAATTCTCGGCAATGGTGAACTCTCCTCCCGGCAGAAAAAAGTGAGATTTGTGTCTTTCATCTAAGCCTATACTGAAGTTTTGTGGAAAAAAACAAACTAACTTAATTATTGAATTGAGAAAGAAATGTGACAGAAATTAAATGAAGATTTGTTTGTTTGTTGATAAACAAATCTACATAATGGGCCCTGAAACTTACCGCTGAGCCACAAAGGGCCGCTAAATAAAGGTTTCAGATTCTTGTATGCATTATAAAGTATGCATTTTTTTAGCATAATTTCATGCTGTTTTCCTGAAAATGTACATGCAAGATCCTATAACTGTTATACAAACATTCTGGAATTTTAGATAAAACTGCTTAAAGCATACAAGAGTTTTTGCTATACAATCTTAGTGAAGAAAAAGCAATATCTATATGTATAAATAATAACTTGAAAGACATTTTTTGATATAGGAATATAATTTTGGTACCCAGTGTTCTCTTGGTAAACGAAATTTGTGAAAAAGTTTTCAACAAATCTTTGGCAGTCATTCAACGGCACCAAACTTCATTTTATGATCAATTGAAAATACGTTGAGGTTAAGTAATAAATTACTTTATTAAGATATGTATTTTTTCCCTCCCATATAGATTTGTGACATCAGCAATCGCACTGTTGGAGAAGTTTAATTTCGATGGTATAGACTTTGACTGGGAGTTTCCAGCTTGGAAAGGAGCGCCCCCTTTAGACAGAGTTTCTTTTATATACTTGTTAAGGGTAATTATTAATAAGAATTTTTGAGTGAAAGAAAAAAAGAGTGTATTACAGTAAATAGTGTTAGTCCATCACACTGTATGTGCAATATCCAGTGCCGACGAGGCTTTTCACCAATACCTGAGTTCCTCAAGCCGACTGGGATAAGACAGACGCAGTAGTGGTTGAGACTCTATTTATATTAGCAAATTGCTTGACAACAATTTCCATGTTGGTGAAGTGTAATTTTCCCATCAATTTTATATTAATGTCCCAACATATTAGAATTTGGGTAAGGATTATTAACACTAAATTATTTATTTATTTTAAAATAATATATTATTAAAACATTATTTTATTGAATTAACTTGCTTATTATTCAGAAGAACATTGTATTGTATAGATATCTCTTGGGGCTGATATATATATATAATGAAAGGGCAGGGGAAAATGATCCAGATTAAAATTTATAAGATGTTTGGGCAAGAAATAATGGATGATACTTAATGTTTAATAATTATGTATTAAGAATTTAAGATAAATCTAACGTGTGTTTGGATAGAAATCAGAAAGTTACAAACATGTATTCATACAAAGTAAAAAAAAGTAATATCATTTAAAGTTACATGTAATTAAGAAAATATACTTTCATGCTTTCTAGGATTTTAGAAACTTTTGTTTTCATACTTTTTAGGATTTAAAAAAAATATTTTCATGCTTTCTAGGATTTTAGAAAGTTTTTATTTTCATGCTTTCTAGGATTTTAGAAAGTTTTTATTTTCATGCTTTCTAGGATTTTGGAAACTTTTTATTTTCATGCTTTCTAGGATTTTGGAAACTTTTTATTTTCATGCTTTCTAGGATTTTAGAAATTTTTTATTTTCATGCTTTCTAGGATTTAAAAAAAAATATTTCCATGCTTTCTAGGATTTTAGAAAGTTTTATTTTCATGCTTTCTAGGATTTTAGAAACTTTTTCAAGGCAGAAGAAAAAGAATTTTTGCTTACAGCCGCCGTTGCTGCTCCTCGATCGATAGTTATTACAGCATACGACATTCCAGCTTTAGCTTAGTAAGTAGAACAAACTTTACATGCATTGCATACAACCTGTTTGTTGGAGTTGATAAAACGCATGTTGACGTAGAACTGGTTTTGGTAGAATTTAAAGTTTCATATAATTTAACATTTTGTTGCTGTTACAACGAGAATTTGTTGAAGCAAGAATTAGAGGAAAATCGGTAATTTCAAGTATAATTTATGATTTTGCATGTTATGTTACGGTTTTGGTAATAATTAAACTCAGAAGGGTTGTTTATGATGGTAAAAAACACCTGCAGGATCAAAATATTAGTAAATCGCACAAAATAGGTAAAACTTTAATGCTTTCGACAAGTCCATAGATCGACTTTTGTCAGATTTTAAATTTAATTTATTATTCAGAATTATTAGTGGAATAATGCTTGTCACCACGATGTAGAATTATTTTTCCTTGCACTTAATGTTGATTTATTCATAAAGTTTTCTTCAAATGAAGCCAGCCATCACTCTTGTCAATCTGTACTAAAAAATCAAATTTCTTCACGTGCACCACAAAATGATGAATAATGAAAATATCAAGCTTTGGAAACCAGTAAAACTACAATGAAATTAACATATATGAGCTAGTTTCTTTTAAAACTACAATTTTTGACCATTTACAAACTCATAAACATTGTCATGTCACTGCCAGACTGCTCGTAGGTTCATTCGCCACACAAACCATACTTTTATTTTTACGTTATTAGTTAGTTATCAGTAGTGTACACTAAATTATATTAGTGCCTGATAGCTAGAACAACATTACTTTATTGTTAACTAGCCGTCTTTACCCGGGTATTACCTGAACAGAGGGCTGATGTTTAGCTATTTTTAAACAGAAAGGATCAAACGAAGGTCTCGTATTCTTGATATTTTATGCGAACGGCGCTCTGCATGGCGGATGCCGTCACCGTCTTTGTGAAACTGCCGCTCTCACTCACTCACTGGACGATGAGTAGCTTGTGTTTTTCTTTGGCTCTCAAGGCGTGTTTCCATTTCTTGTGGAGTCTCACTATGTCGCTTTTGTTGGATAGGTTTGGCCCAAAATATAGTGAATAAAAACCAATTTATTTTTGCAGAGTCTCGCAGGTTCAACTTGTCTATTCTATAAAAAAGTTAGTTTTGTTTGTCAGTAGACACGACAGCATACCACTTTATAAAATACTCATACATTTTTCTGACGCCATTTCCACTTAAATAAGACCAAAAATCCTGTCTTCTTCTGTGGAAAAAATAGATTACAAAGTTTTTATTGACACTAAAATTGTTACCTCACAGACATTAACCTGAGTACTCTGATTCCATACCTTTATAGGCCTACTATTATAGGGGCTGAAAGGCGCGAACAAACAGACACAAACTTAGTTTTATATATGAGATACTACATGACATTACCTCAAGTCCGACTTTGAGATAGCCAGAAGAGCACCAATGTTCTATTCTAATGGTAAGGAACAATAGTTTTACACAAATACCTGCACTTCAAGTACATTTTTTTAAAAACAGAATTATTACTTTTTGGGAGATTTTAATGACACTTGGTTCACCTGTTTTGCAGCTTGTTCGAGAACGACGTTTGATTATACTGTTACGTCTCCGTTCGTTAGTTAATTTTCCGTAAATTCGTTCCGACGAAACTTTTGCGACACAAGTCCTTTCTTAAATAAAACTGGTTTATTCTTTCTGAATATAACTTTGCGATACACTTAGTTTCAACAGTCGCTGTATAACAAACACCATAATTCACGTCTCACGTGGCCAAAAATATTTTGTCCGCATACATTCAATTACTCATTCACTTGTTGCGTCACGTTGCGAGCGTCTTATATATACCAGGCTACCCCCAATCTAGTAGTCTCCCGATAATTCATGAAGGTTCGAGAAGGAGTGGCGTGATACTAGTCACGTGACCTCGCTGACGCAACAATACTAAGAGCTGGTCTTCGTCGTAAAATATTTCATGAAATTAATTTTTATATTTTTACATAAGTTATTAATAGTTTATTATTTAATTCTTAATAAAACTTGTAGCGAAAGAAATCATAAATTGATTTTAACATGTTTTTCACAGTTTATCTAGCAGCAACATAAACCCAAAAGTTATCAAGTAACAAAGTGTAATTAAAAGCGGTAGTTCTTTAATATTTTTGTTTTACAAAAATAGCATGTATACAGCAATATGATATTGGACAAAGATAAAACGTTGGAATTATTAATTTCTACGCACATTTTACCGAGTTACTAGAACGCTATGCTTATTTGACGCTAAAATTTGTTTCAACTTACTGAAAGATAACACAGGCCTACTATGGTTTTATTGTCTTGAAATTTTTACATGTTCTACAGTAATTCCTGTACGTTGAATCGGAAAATGATGTCCATTTTTCTCCATCACGTACAGATTTTTCATAAAACGTCCTAACGCAATACATAAAAGAAAGACGACAACACGTAGTTTTGAGATTAAAAGACGTAGATTTCCCCTCCCTCCAAAAAATCGGGGTGAGTGAGGATGCATATTTATTTGACATTAATGTTCTTCCCTTTTCTTCAGTTTGATTGTATTTTTGTTAACAAACATAATAATAAAAAATATTCATTGTGGTAAATGAAATAATAATATTATCTAAGTAAGAGGTTTTCTTCTTCCCGATTTGTAAACATTCTTTACATGATAGAAAAAAAGGAATATTATTTTCGAAATCTGCGTAGCTGAATTATGGAAAATCCGTTATTA